TATTTAAAGCCACATTCCACAGAGTTTACAGATGGGAAGTTGGGAAACAGGTCCTGTGTGCTGCACTTTCCCTGTGCCAGGGTCCACCTGGTCTGCATGGTAGAGTAAGGGCAGCAGCACAAAGCCAAGAAGGAAGGGAAGGAAGAAGGAAAGAAGGAAGGAAGACAGGGAGGGAGGGAGGGAAGGAGGAAGGAAGGAGGAGATGCAGGCAGGCCAGCCTTCTGGGCAGGTGGGCAGGCCTGAGGAGGACTACTAGCCCTGTGAGTGGCCACTGCCACTTTTTGATTCTTAGCCTTGAGTGCTGGACATGGAAGGGATCGCTGGGAGTAGAGTCTAAAGCACATGTCTACTTCCCATCTGTGCAGGGAACCTGTCCCTCTGCCAAACAGCTCTGCCAAGGTCTGTGCTGGGTTTGGGGGATACAGGGCTTAGAAGATACAACACAAAAGGCTTCACCAATACAAAAGGCTCCCTTTGCAGGACAAGGTGACACACGTGCCAACCTGGAGCCCTGGAGGCCAATCAAGGTGTCTACAGTGTGCTCCGGGGGCTCGCAAGACGGCTCCATTAGTTCAACCCATGGTAGAAGCATCTACTGTGTGTTGTTGGGTGAGTCAAGGTGGGCAAAGAGAAACGTTTTTGCAAGAAGTTCATAACCCTAACGGTAGAGGGGAGGCGGAAGGCTTGTGGAAGAAACAAGGCTTCTCCTGTCGGCAACCATTGTTGGCATTTGAAGGTAAGAATCTTCCAGGTAAAAACATGGTAAGGGGAGGAAAGGGGACATCCTTGGCTGAGGATAGTCAAGGGCCAAGGTGTGCAAACAGCCAGTGCGATTAAGGAATGGGCGGAAGCCCTAGCATTTCTTCAGACTTGCACATAACAATAGGCCAGGGCTTCATAGACCAAAGAGAACTTTCCAGATCTCCCCCTGGCTAGACTGGTTCCGTGCTGTGTTCACTCAGGGAAGGAGGCACCTTTCTTGCTGCTCCATCTGAGGGAGCCTCATGGGTGGTCTCCCAAATGCACCTCATCTCATCACTCTCTGAGCTCCACCCGGAACACAGCAGGCAAGATTCCTCCTCAGGATGACAGCTGTCGCCGGTTGCCCTGGCTCTGGAGCTCATTTTGCCTTTCTTGGCCACCTGGACAGGCAGGGCCAAGGGTTTTTCTGACAGAAGGCACGGTACCCGAGCTCTGCAGGAGCGAGTCTCAGCATTAAAAGCGAATCTCAGGTTCGGGCCCTGCCCTAGGGGTAGCAAACATGCGGCAGTTGTAAGCTCCTGAATTGTAGCTGAGGGCCACGGGAGGGCTCAGCATGGGAACCCTGAGCCAGGAATCAGCTTCTGGCGGAGATGAGCATCCCCCTTCCATGGGCAGAACTGCGCCAGTATGACCTCAAGCCTCGATCAAGAGACCCCTTGATTCAACCTCAATAAAACTATATTTTAATAATATAAAAATGGGGCTGGGGCTGGCACTGGGCTCAGCGGTGGAATGCTGTCTAGCACATACAAATCCCCTGGGTTCAACTGCCAGTACTGTAAAGAAAACAAAAGAAAAACAAAAACCAAAAAGAAGTGTTTATAATGTGTAAACTTGGCCTTGAAAACAATCTTGTCTTTTCTACTCTATTTTTCTCCTTTGATGAAAAACCAATCATCTAAGTACGCTGGAGTTTACAGGGAGTCTCTTATGTGTATGCTTCACAGGAACTTCTTAAAAACCACAGCAGAAGTGGTTAAACAAGATACATAGGGGAGAAAATTCAAAGCCAGACAGACCCCGTGGCACACACTACAGCTTGTGCCTGATTCTGCCTGTTTTAGTTCCCCTTGTTCCTCAGAAGGCGTGGGGTGGTCTGCGGAAGGATGTAAGTCCGATAAGGATTTGAACAGGATCGCAAATCCTAATCCAAAATTTGATGGAGTGCCTCGCTGGGAGGCAGTGGGACTACAAAGGCTTCACTTCTTTGCTGAGTTGCTGTGGCTGCCAGGGACTTATTTGGCTGTCGTGGAAAATGTGTGTCTTGGGTTCCTTAAGCAATGAGTTGATTCTGTGATCACGCTGCCTTTCTTTTTATTAGTACTGGGAAGTGAACTCATGGACCTCACGCTTGCCAGGCAGGTGCTGTGCCGCGGAGCCTAATTGCGCTGCCTTCTGCCTACAAAGTCAGAAAGGTGGGATCAGGCATCTGCTCGGCAGCGGTCCCCATACACTGGCAGAGTCCTTGCTGGGTTTAGTCTTGTCCTCTGAGGTCACCGACCTCAGTTCACAAACTTAAGTCACTCCACGATTCTGGGGAAGATGGTCAAGGTTGTGTTCATTGCTCAGTGCAATTTTTGAATGGAAGCAAAATCTTGCTAAATGCTCAGCAGAAGTGTTCATGAACTGAGGTAGTCCTGTACTCAGTACTGGCCGGAAGGAGGCTCCTCCTGATTTTGGAAGTTGGCTTTTTTGATTCCAGGTTGTTGTAACATTCATCCCAAGCACCAGAACCTTGTCCTCTGCCCACGAAGCAGGAAGTGTTCTGAAATCATTGTTTTTCTTCTTAAGCATGGCTGCTCTTGACTCAGTTTTGAGCTCGTCCCACTCCACGGCCTTAGTCCTTGTCCTCACCCCTCATCTGCTCTCTGAGAGGCTGCACCCACTAAACATCATGCGGACCCCAGGTGGTCAGGGCTGCACTGTGTTTGGGGGTCCCAGAAGATGAGCGGCTGCAGTTATTGTCGTTTCCTTCTGCCTCTGAGCCTCAAGGCTGAGTCCATACACACTCATCCCATTTCACAAGGCTTAAAACTTCTGGCCCATTGTTATACCTGCGTCTACAGTGGACAAGCAGGAAGGGGGGCATGGAAATTACCTCCTTTCTGAGCCTCACCCTCTCTCTCCTCTCACCTCTGCCCACCAGTATGTGGTTCTTATTGGATATAAATATCTGGTAGCCCTTGCAAAGTTGGGTCACCTGATTTCCCATTTGGATCTAAGGTGCTGATGGTTTTATTGGAGTTATGGGCCTTTAATCTGCTCTGTGGTGCATTTCTGCGGGAAAGTAATTCCGAAGTGAAATTATTTCTCTTTGTGTAGGAACCTCCAATCCTCTGGCTCTTCCTGGGCTGGTTCTACCAGAATTGAGCTTGTTTTCTGGTCCTCTGCTGGGTAGGACAGATGGCTGGGAGTGGACAAGGTGAAGGTCAATAATCTGTGCTGTAGGATGGTCCTGGCCAAACACAGTGCAGTTCCCTAGATGAGAGGGCTTCAGGCATGGTTATTTTATTTATGCAGTGAGATGAGGGATTTTTGCACAAAGACTTGCAGCTGCAGATCTTCTTCTAGGATGAAGGCCAGCTTCTCAGACACCAAACTCTACTGGACAGCAAAAGTTACCACTGCTAACCACAAGTCTAGGATCTGGATGTAATAATCAGACTCTCCTTGGAGTTATGTTTTATTTTCTCTTTAAGACTTCCCAGCATATGGGCAAGTTAAGAGGGCAGGAAAGTTTGGTAGGATCTGCTGATCTGTGCCACGGTGACTGGCTTAGAATTTTAGTTTCATCTATATTAGCTTCATGACTAGGCATAGGATTTCATTTCTATCTTCTCCAATTTCATCTTTCTGAAAAATGGGGATAACATTGCCTATTTTTGATAGGCTAAAATGCCCCTCCAAAGAAACCCATGTCCTGGAACCAGATGCTCCTGGAGTCCCAGCTACTTAGGTGACTGAGGCAAGATGATCACTTGATTCCAAGAGTTTGAGCCCAACCTGGACAACAGGATGAGACCCCCCATCTTAAAAAAAAATTATTAAAAAAGAAATCAGTGCCCAAATTCCTAGAACCTCCATATGGTGGCTTATTTGGAAAAAAAGTACTTGCTTAATTTGAGAATTTTGAGATGAGGTGATTAACTTGGATTCTCCAGATGGGTTGTTAGTGCCAGAAGAAGGGTCCTTCTAAGAGGAGAGCAGAGGGAGATTTTACAGACCCACAGAAAAAAAGAGAATGTAAATCTGGGAATGAAATAGGGAGATTTGAACGTAGAGTTTTGGATTTTGGAGTGATGTTACCAGGAGCTGAGGAATGGCAGCAGGCACCAGGGTGGGAAGGGCTAAGGAATAGATTCTTCCTGTACCCTCCAGAAAGACTGGGCCCTGCTGACGCCCTCATTTTATCCTGGGGAGACTGAGGTTGGGCCTCTGGCTTCCAGCGCTGTCACAGATTTCTGTTGCTTGAAGCTGCCATGTTTGTGGTAACTTGCTATAACAGCTGCATGAAACTAACACTTACCTCGATGGTGTTATTAGGAGGATTTAACAAAATAGTGCATGTAAAATGTTTTGACGCCTCTTTGGTATTTCATAGTAAGCCTTCACTAAATATTGGCAAGTATTATTCTAGATTTTCTTGGGACAGTGCAAACAGACAGAGTTTCCAGTGGGTGTCCTGGCTCGGTCACAGTGACTTGAAAGCTCAAGTTGAACTGCTCCTTACGCCTTCAGCAAAAGGAATTGAGTGAGTCCTGCCCTGCTCTCCTGCCCAGGAGTTGTGTAGCTCCAATGAGTTAATGACATGAAAGTGGTTTGCACATCACCTGGGTTAAGCTGTGGTCACAAAGGCCAGGACCAAACAGAGGCAGCGTCAGAGAGGTCAGGGCTGGAGCTTTGTTCCTCTGGCACTGGGAGGTGAGATCATCTCTCTCAGCTTTTGTTCCTGCTTTTCTGAGCTCATTTGTTGGTTTTCCCCTAATCCCAGCCCCTCCATTCCGGAGTGGAGCCCCAGATGACAAATCTCTAACTGTCCCAGCCAGCTCTGAGCCTCCCCCGTGGGGCACATTTCTTCTTGTTTCTATTTTTAAGAGGCACAAACAAAAATAAAAACAAACCCTGAAATATACTAATCTTAAAAATGATTTATAGTGCCTAGCATAGACATCGGGTCAATAGATTCCGATTTAACTTTACTGAGGGTTTGAGATGTTCCCGATGTGTTTTTATTTTAGACCAGAGACCCAGAAGACTGAGCACCAGGATGTCAACTTAGGTGGAACAAGTCAACCCTTGGCAAATGCTTGAAAGTGGTGAATTCATCTGTAAAGATGCCCAGCCTCCCAGGAAATGTGCTGTTTTAGCCTGAGTAGGTAAAGGAAAACACACAGGAAGCGAACAAGTCATGTCTACCCATCATTTGCTTTGTCTTTTACGGACGTTTCCCTGGCATCCCTCTCCCTGAGATGGTCACAGGCATGCTTTATGCCAACAGCCTGTTCCTGGGGGATGTGGCAGATTCTTCCGGGTCATGTTTTTCAGTCTGCTTGTCCACTCATCTGCATTCAATCAGGTAAAGATATATACTGAAAGCCCACCATGTTCCAGGCACTGTGTTAGGAACTGCGGAAACAATGCCCAGGGTTGGTATCTGGAGTTTGCAGTCCACTGGGGGTGACAGTGTAAGCCAGTTGGTGACAGGACACTGACAGCTTGCAAGGGTGCAATGAAGGGACAGTTTGCACCGCAGCATGTCCCTGGGGAGGAGTTAGCTCTGGGGTAGTCAGGTCTGGGGTAGGAAGAGAGATGAGGTGACCCAAAAGGGAGTGGAACATGTTAGAGTCAGATTAGCGTGTGTAGAGGTCCCAAGGTGACAGCAATCATGACAGATAGGAAAAATCAAGAGGAAGCAAGCATGGCGGTGAGCAGAGGGAAGAGAAGGTCTTGAGGTGGAGCTAAAGGAGAAGTAGGGGCCACAGTGGTGGCCTGGTTGGTCATCTTAGGGGGACCGGTATTGGGGGAAGATCTATCTCCCCATTCCTGCTATCCTGAGCATGTGGGCCTTCACTGCGCCTGTCTGATCTCCAGCTGGTGTGGGTCAAGCTGGGGCCATCAGAAAGCTGAGCCTCCAGAGTGAGTGTTCTGTGAGTGGCGTCTGTTCTAAGTCTCCTTCTGGCCTAGATCATCCAGGGGGGTTGGCCTCCATTTCCCCGCAGGTCTATGTCTTCATTCTGACCCACACATCTTATTTTTACCTTGAACCCCACTCTGTCCCTGGTATGTTTCTTTCATTCCACAAATGTTTATTGAGCACTTAGCACAGGGCAGGCACCAGGCAAGGCCCTGGGGATGCTCTGCTGATCTGAGGGAGGCCTGTACCTGCCATAGGGAAGCATCAGGGCCAACATGAGGGAGAGACAATAGCTTGGACCCTCCATGATCAGACGTTGCTTTCTCCTTGAGCCATGGTCCATACCCTCACTATGTCCTCCAAGGACAGCCCTCTGCCACCTGCCCTTAGCACGAGAGCATGACCATGGGCCACACTCAGACCTTGCGCAGTGCCTGGCAATGCCGTCCCCATTGTGGACCAGCATAAGTCTCCAGCTCCGTCCCAGCTCCATCCTCGGGCTGCTTGACTGCGTAGGCCTGCACTTCAGGCCGGAGCAGAGTCACTACAGGTACCTTTCTGAGATTCCCACCATGCATTGTGACCCTGGGTGCGGAAAGGCCACCTTCCTGGTTCTTCTCCCCTGGGCACAAGTCCCTGCTCACTGGGTGCAAGTCTTCTGAAGGAACATAAGGACTTTCAACCACAGCCTGGAAGCATATTCCCACACGCCACAGCTAATGAACTGTTCCCAGGGATGGTTAATGCCCTGTGAAATCAGTCATTAATTGTGGAAACAACTGATTTCAGAGACGTCGTGGCGATTAGGAGCTGCATATGACGGCGGTGGCAGAACAAACACACTACCATGTTGCCCATTCGTCACGAGTGCAAAGGCCAGCAAGGTGCCTGGGAAGCTGTCCTCTAACAGGGAGCGGTCACGGGCTGCTGGGTCCCTACAGCTCCTGCAGCCTCACTCTGAAATCCCTGGTGACACACACCAAAAGTGAGCAGTGCGCATCTGGGAGAGAAGGAAAGGCTCACCTCCCAGTGGCCAGCAGAAGGAGGCAGCATCGGATAATGGATAAAGCTACTCTTGGTGGAAGCTGCTGCTGGTGCTGGTGGCTTCTGAACTGCAGTCCTGGGCACCTCTGAGGGCCGGAGAGCTGTTTCTGCATGGTCTCCCGGTGGTCTCTGGGGATGATGGTTCTGGGACTCGCTCTCCCCTAGGTTTGTTTCTGGGGAGAATTTAAAATAAACAGCTTTTGTTAGTAGTGTATCCAGAATGTGTTTGTTCCCTGGCTCTGTTTCTAACGCAAGTTTCCCCCTCGCAGGCCAGAAGTCAGCGGCATTAATAGAAACTGATAATCTTTCTTGGAGCTGACCCTACTCATCCCCTCCTTCCGCCCTCGGTCTCCGGCTATTTCTAGAGCCCTTGGGAATGGCTTGTGTGAATGCTGGAGGACAGCCTCCTGGCCACTTCCTTCCTCTCCCTGGCTCCATCCTCAGCCTGGTCCTGGACCTGGCATCAATACCTACCCACCCCAGGCCTGTGCTTACAGGATCTGGAGAGACAGAGAGACAGAGACACAGACAGAGACACAGACACAGAGAGAGACAGAGAGACAGACACAGAGAGAGACAGAGAGACAGAGAGAAGGCCGTAAAAGAATTCTAAAGTAGCCAAAGAGCAGGGCCACTGCTGTCTCTTGTGAAGGTCCTCTAGATCGCTGTATGGAAAGGTAAGGATGCACCCTGGTTTCTAGTACGGAAGGGCTGGAATTACCCTGCTGATCAACAACTTGGAGTTAGCAGAATGCATTTTAGTCAAGAATGTGGACTCCTATGCAGCATTTAATAATTATTAAAACTTATGCTTCTTGACACAGAAACTGCCTATGGCTTATTACTTGGTGGGAAAAAAACCAGCATCCAAACACACAAGATCCCATGTATGGAAAGCCGTAAGCATGTAGGTGCATATGTGTGCAGTGAACAAGTCCCTCTGGACATACCCCAACACACGAACACTGATGGTCTGGGGAGATCTAAGGTGGCTTAGAAATTTCTGTTTTTGCTTTCAAAACGAGTCCAAATTTATTGCAGTGAGCATGTCTCGGTTTTATAATAAGCAAATAGATTTTATTTTACATTTCATTGAAATCTGTTCTATTTTACTCGGGTAATAAAAAGACACCCTATCAGAATTTTCTAAAGCTATTTCCAGAACTTGATTTTAGCAGCCAAATTAAGACAGACGACTAGTAGAAAAGTAAACCTTTTAGATTCAGAAAATAATGACATCTCCAAAAGTTTTTAAAGATGAGGTTGTAAGCATTGAGAAATAAATGGCTCAGAATATTTTATGGGTTATGTCATAAATCAAATCTAAATATCAGTCAGACAGCGTCAGAGAAGACAGACTTGGTGGGGTGGAGCCAGTGGAGGCCGGGGCAGTAACAGCCAGCAGAAAATAATGCTCTTAAGGCGATGTCAGTGACATATAAGGCTCTGTCCTGACCACAACAGTGACTCTTGGCCAAGAAAGTTTGAGACACCTGGCATGACTGAAAATTTCACTTTAAATTTAATTTTGATTTTTTTTGAATTTGTGCCTCATTTCTGATTCAGGGAAGCCTTTTACTGTAATCTTTGACTCATCTCTAAATGTCGGGGGAATTCTGCTTGGGCCTTTTATTGAGAATCGGCTGCTACAGACACCCAGGACAATGATCATCGTTTCCCAAGTCTCCTGACAGTAGGTCTTTTTCCTGTTTTACTTTACTACACATACACCTCACCTGAAAGTACTGCAGCACGGCTGGAATTTCAGCCCATGATGCTTCCAAATTCCAAGCCAGAAAGTTCTTTCTTGAAAGAACAGGGATGCAAAGTGCAAAACCTAAAACCCAAAGTCAAGAATATGTGTCAAATTTTTATCAAACGTAAAAAGGAAGCAGCTGGGAGTGGGGCAGGTTTTTTTTTTTTTTAACTAATTAAACAAAATCAAATATTTTAAAATAATCACCTCTGTGGCAGAATATAAACAACAGCACACATGCAAGACAATCAAAATCATCTTGGTAATCATGGTGAGGGGTTAATTCTAGAAACTGGGATAGCAATATGGACTTCAGTAGCATACTACTAGTGGCTAAACAAAAGCAGTACTTACAACTCCAATTTTTTTTATTTAAAAAAATTCTGTATTTTGTCCAGAGTACCTTAATTTTGAGAATATATCTTATACATAGAAAAATGCAGTAAAAACAATGCAAAACCTATTCAGACTGGAAGGCAGAGGCCGCTCACCAGAAGGTTGCAACATCGAGGTCAACAAGACAAACCAGGTTCTCTTCCAAACTACCCTTTCACAGCACACCTCCCTCACCAACGGCAGAGGTAGTGGGTTCTTTGTGCTCGGCATGAACCAGTTTTAAAATAACTTCCCTCATTGTTTCATGTATCCATATTTTATTTCTCCTGAAAGATTTTGGGCTGAGACCAAGGGGCATTAGCGCTCTTTCTCAAATTTCCCACCTTGGTTGTCAAGAGAGCTGGGCGTGTGGCACATGAGTCACAGTTATTTACTCACTGGATAAAAAAGAGTCTGAATCAGAAAATAATAGGTTCTGTAGGCCTTGCCACTGTCAGCTCATGGATGAGTTATCAACTTCTTGAAGTCTTGGGCTAAGAAAAGTTTTGATGATAAGTTGGGCTCAGCAGATAGAATATTATGGTTGTTGGATAATGTGTGAGAAGCATAAGGATTCCTATGGTCTGTCTGGTCCCTGTCCCTAAATACTGCCCCCCACCCCCAGCTACCAAGCTCAGACTTTGTGTACAACACAAACACATCTCGTTATTTCATCTGCTTTCAATAGGTTTTTCTTATAGAACTTGCAGCGCAAGGCTTCCTAAGTTATATAACCTTCTATTCATCCATCCCAAAACTTCAACAATTTTTTGGCTGAGAAATGACGAGGTTTTGCTACTAAAAAACTGTACATTTTAATAAAAAGCCACATCAGATACAGGGTTAGACATTTTTCTCAAATATTAATTATTCTAATTACTAACTGAGTAACTTCTGCCTAACTTTTTTTTTTTTTTTTGTCTTTTTGAGACAGGGTCTTTCCATGCAGTTCAGCTCACTTTGTAGCCCAGGTTGGCCTTGAATTTGCAGTGACCTTCTTGCCTCAGCCTCCTGAGTGCTGAGATTACAAGTGTGCGCCGCCATGCCTGGCTCTGCCTAACTTTTTATAAAGCTCTCCAAACCTCTGTTTTCCAATTGCAAAAGTGGGACCATAAAACCCAGGATGGCCATGAGAATTGAGGTAACCCTGGTTCACGTGAGTGTGGAGCACAGCTGGTACCTGGGGCACTTGGTGGGGTGCAGCCCCCACACCAGCCTTCTTCCCTTCTCTGGCCCCAGAAGAAGTGCTGTCCCCTGGGGCCACTTCGTGAAGCCCACTGATTTGGTAGCTGAGCTCCCGAGGCTTGGGCAGAAGGGTGGCCAGGCTTTCCTCCTGCGCAGATGGATTTCCTCCCCAGGCTGCCTGGTCATCCTGGCATTGCGTCTCTTTAGCTAGGGTGTAGTGCAAAGGGAATCTCATCAGGAGAAGAAATTCAGCGCAAACTAATATACAATTTGGAAACCTTCTGGGAGTAGAGGCAGTTTACACTTTGGAAGATTTTTGCCTTATTTTATTACTGGGTCTTCTGAAAAATTAAAGGGAGATGAGTTGCCTTGAGCCAAAGAAACACGTACAGTTGAATTAAAATTTAAATCCTGCCTGTGTTTGCTGTCAGACCAATGGAGCTTTGTCAGAAGGGACTTGAGTGGTGTGACTCTGTTTGTTTGGTTTTTTTTTCTGGCTTGGTCCAAAAGAACCTTATTGACTTTTTCTGTGATTTGTGTTGCTCTGTCACTAGGATGTCGTTCTCTAAGATAACGGAAAAAGCTGAAGCTGTAGGGAGGATGATTTAACAGTTAGGAATGGATTTCATCATCAACAAGACTTCCTAATAATGAGAGAATAATTTGAAGTGCAGGCGAGGGTTGAGTATGCATCCAGCCCCCGCTGCTTAGCAGCTGTGTGACCTCCGGCAAATTGTTGACCTCTTCGAGCCTTTGTTTCCACATCTGTGAAATGGAGATGATGCTTGTAATATTTAATCATGGCTGTAGAAAAGCTCTCCCAAATTCAGTGGCTTAAAACAGCAAACATTTTTTATTCCTCCAACATCTGTGTGCCTAACGGGCTCTTCTGTGCTTAGCTGAGGGCTCTGCTGGTCTGGCCTGGACATGTGACTGCAGGCTGGCTGGGGGTCACCTGGGGTGGTTCTGCTCAACATGCCCCCCCAGCAAGTGAGCTCTTCTCATAATGATGGCAGAGGGGCCACAGCAAGGGCCCAGTCATGCAAGCATGAGAGAAGAGTTCTCTCAGGCGTGCTTGCTTTTCACTGGCCAACACAAAGTCAAGTTAGGTTCCTCGCTTGGCTCTGGATGCCTAGGTGATGAGATTTTTGAAGAATAATTAGTCTGTTACAGTGCAGTGCTAGTTATTATGGTAGGACTGAGTGGAATAGTAGATGTTGGTAGGCGCTCCCTAGTACAAAAGCAGAGGCATCTACTTATTCTATCATCTCTTCCTCAGTGAGGTATGTGCCTACTCCTTGTTAATGTAGCTAATGACTTCAGGTGAGAAATCTGCTCATGATGGATAAAAAATAACCTGGGAAGATGGTGGCTTAAAATATCTCCACAAGTTTTTGGGTACTGTTCTGTTCAAGAGGTGGGATTTAAATTCCTTCCTCTTGAGTGAGGGGTGAACTTCGTGTTGCATTGTAGGAGCCAAGGGGAGGGGAAACGTATGAAGTGACCATGTGCAGCTTTAGAGACTATTCCATGAACCTAAGACCCAGTTCTGGTCAAGGAGACAGAAAGTGCATTCCTTGGGAGGGAGTCCATATAGCTTTGGGTTTCCCAGTGTATATATGATGTGGTTGATGTCACCCCGGGCCATTCTTGTCTTCAAGCAGACATGCTGGCTGTAGCTCTAGGCGCCGTACTGCAACCAGAAGAGAAATGATGAGAGAATTACAGAGGTGCCTGTGTTGACATTGTTATCCAAAACCAATGCTATGTATCTCTAGATTTGAAAAACAAATTAACCAGGCCAGTTTTCTGTCACATACATGTGAAAATATTCCTAACAAATACAGAACATGGACGTAGCAGGCTGAATAATGGCTCTCAAAGATGTCTATC